TTTAAGGGTTTTGGGGATTGCACTAAGATTTGAAACATCTGATATATGTAGGTGTTGCATATTACTCAAGGAAATACCATTTTCTCTTATTCCTGGATAGTTGAATTGTTTAAGGGTTTTGGGGATTGCACTAAGATTTGAAACATCTGATATATGTAGGTGTTGCATATTACTCAAGGAAATACCATTTTCTCTTATTCCTGGATAGTTGAATTGTTTAAGGGTTTTGGGGATTGCACTAAGATTTGAAACATCTGAGGGACATAAAAGAATCTATACTTTTTCCTAGACATTTTAAGCTTAGGATGCCTGAGAGAGCCAGAAATAGGATAGTTCTGTATTATAATTAGCATCTGGAGTCTAGTCAAATCTCACTTGGGCAAGAAACATACCCATTTAGGCTTGGGGAGGTGGGTTTCCTGAAGCTACATATGTCTGTACTTACGATATTCAGTAAATTAATAGCTATATGATAGAACTCACAAAGTGGATCCAGCCTGCAGAGACATATATTGATTGGCCTATACTGTGTTTTTAAAATATCTAGATTTATGACTTCTCCTGAAAATTGGAAGATCTGACAACCTTAACCACCTATTGCCACAGGGCAGCAACTAGCTAGATGGACATATGCTCTCACTTGCCAGAATGCATACCACTCCTTATCCTGAAGATGTCTGTTGCCATTTATCACTATACTTGCACAGTCACCCATTTGCTCAACCCACTTATGTTCATACCCAGCATCTGTAGCCTTAAAATATCTAATTTATAACCATCAGTCTACATTTTTCTATGCTGGTGCAGCTAAGTGAAAATGAGTTGATAGCAATTTAATATAGTAGGAACAATTGATTCATTTTTTTTTCCAGGAACATAATACATATTCATGTCTTCATTTTTGTTCCTTTTTTTATTCCCTGAAATATTTACTTTTGCTGAATCCTATTCATTTTCAACTCCCAACACCTTGACTCTTCCTTGATCACCTCTGTCTCCAGTAGTGTCTTCCTGTCCCCAAGTCTTAGAACACTTATTTTCTCCACCACTGTAAATTTATCATAGTGGAGATTTAGAGTCTCATCCAGTTAAAAAATGGCTGCATTCCTATAAAGAGGCCCTTTAGTAGTCTTTTCTTAATATGGTTCGCAATTCATTGTTGTCATTTTGAATACTAAGAAAGTAGTAAGTTTAAATTTTATTTCCCTAATGTATTTTTTTAAGTTTATTTATGTTTTAAAGTTTATTTATTTATTTTGAGAGAGACGGAGACAGCACAAGTGGGGAAGGAGCAGAGAGAGAGGAAGAGAGAAAGAATCCCAAGCAGGCTCCATAGTGCCAGCGTGGAGCCTGATGCGGGGTTCAAACTCATGAAACTGTGAGACCATGACCTGAGCCAAAACCAAGAGAGACAGAGCTTATACAAGTGGGGGAGGGGCAGAGAGAGAGAGAGGGAAAGAGAATCCCAAGCAGACTCTGTTCCCTGCTAGGGCAGAGCCCAACTTGGGGCTCAATCCCAGGGACCTTGGGATCATAACCTGTGCTGAAATCAAGAGTCAGACGCTTAACCGACTGAGCCACCCAGGTGCCTGGTTTTTGTTTTGGTTTTTGTGTTTGTGTTTTCCCAATAGGCTTCACGCCCAACATGGAGTCCAGTGAGGGGCTTAAACTCATGACCCTGAGATTAAGATATGAGCTGAAATCAAGAGTCAGATGCTTAGCCAGCTGAGCTACCCAGGCACCCTTTCCCTAGCTTTCTTAATTGACCTTTGGTCATTAAATTTAAATGTTTTCCTTGCTTTCAGTTACAGATGAGGACACAGTAAAGAGGTATTTTGCCAAGTTTGAAGAAAAATTTTTCCAAACCTGTGAAAAGGAACTTGCCAAAATCAACACATTTTATTCAGGTGAGTAGTTTTTTGGTACAACATACAATAGAATTTCTGCTGTTACAGAAAGAGAAACTCTGCATGTCATTGTTTATTTAACCTTCTGATCATTATTTTAAAATGGTGGCTTGTTTTCCTTCCTATACTGCATTTAGGGATGTTTTCTATAGCTAAGGTAGGAATGCATCTGGTGCTTCAGTATTTAAGCCTAATACGGTCATTGCCTAGATTCTTTTGCAGTTGCAAGGATTTGGAAACCTCCTTGTGAACCAGTACTTTGTAGAGCTTCGCTCAAGTCCAGGCTAAAGCTTTAAAGACTCAGAAATTTGATTTTATCATCTCAAAGCTAAATTACAGCTAAATAAGCTAAATAAGCAGTTCCTGCTTATTAATTACATTTCTTTTGTCTTTCCATTGTATGGAATACTCATTTCTATCTCTCTAGAGCAATGTCTCCAGAGTGGCATCTACAAGATGCTATTGGAGTTGAGGAGGAAATACTAGAACTTCTATTTTTTTATATCTGACCCTTTAAAATTCTGTTTTTTTTTATATATGTTTACTCCCCTAGTCCTTTAACTTCTGTTTTTCTGTCTCACAGAGCTCAAGTTTCTTGACTCCTTCATCTATTCCAGTTGACAAGACCCCTCCCAGAATTACTTGCCTCTCTGTTAGTCATCTTAACCGTTTTGTCCCTTGTGCTTTTTAAATCCTTTTACCCTCATTGCTTTGTACTGCTTCTGCCTAGCAAAATTCCAACTGTGAACCAATCCAGCATTTCCTTCTCCATGCCTATTCCCTGGGTGCTTAGGATAGCTGGGGGAAAAAAATCACATACCAGAACAAGTTTGAACCAGTGTAAATTCACCGTTACATTCTTAACTGTGTCTTCAAAGCTACCCACAGGTCCTAATCAGTGCCCTTTTCCATGCTCCAAAATGTTTTTCTGGACCCAACTCCATTGTCTTGAATTTTCTGACCCCACCATCTTCTCCATCATGCTCATTATACTATACTCCTTCCTTACAAATAAAAATAAAGGCCTTCAGCTCCTGTTGGTGTATAATACTTATGCAGATGTAGGCCACCCCTCCCCCAAAATACTTGTTCACATTCTTACGCTGATTTATTTCCCTCCAATCTTTTTAGAAAAGATATCCCTCTTTAGTCCATGGCAAATCTCTGCAACTACTGATTAAATTTTAGCTCCTCAAGACCTTGTGCCAGTAATTATTTCTTCTAAGAATTAGTAAATAAACGCATCGTTGATTTTCCTTTTAACTGGTTTAATCTCCTTAGCAAGTCACTGCCTTTTAGCAAAAAAGAAACAAAAAAGGAAGCAAATGCCTTAGTTCTCCTCACCTCTCCCTTATGGCTAGACTTCCTAGGCAAAGAGAGCAGTTTATGCAGAGACACAGAGCCATGAAAGGGCATAGCATGTCCTTTGCACTACACTGTAAGTACCTAGAATGCAGAGACAAAATGGCAATATTATTTGAAACTGTGCAGTGGATAGATTTTCAGCAAGGGGAAAATGTACAGAACAATTTGCAATGTGCAAGAACGGAGATAATTTCCTTAATTAGGAGTAGGAGTGAAAGAGGAACTAGCAGTGTAGACAGAGAAGGAGAGGGCAGCCATGTAATGAAGAATGAGGAAGAGGAAGCTAAGAGGAAGGCATTTGCAGGGGAAAGAGTGTTTAGACTGAGAAAAGGCTATAGGATATGACCTATGACTGTAAATGAAAAATATAAAGGTCAAGTTTATTAGCTTTTTTTTTCTGTGATTTTTTTTGGAAAGATCTCTGAGCCCAGTTCTATGTGGATTATTGAGATCACAAAGAGTAGATAATGCTTATTGGTATACAAAGAAAAAAAAATATCTACTGTTAATAAGAGATACATACTACATGTTAAGTTGTAGTAAAAACTGTATACACATGTGACCCATCACACCTAGTCAGATATGTGTATTTTATGTATGTTTGTATGCATCTATATATGTGTGTATATGCAGTATATTTAAATAATTAATATTTTTTCATGGAATAATATCCTTACTATGTGTAGTATATATTGTTTTCTATAATTATTTCTCTTTGACTTATAATATGCCAATTTATGATCCACACAATTGCTTTTATAACCCTATATTGAGTTATAACCCTAGTTTGAAAAATGGTATCTTAAATTTCATTATTTTTCAAAAATAATTTTAGGCTTTCTACTATTGAAAGTTTGGAGGCTGTGATTAAATGACTTCCTTTTTCCTAGTGTGTTGGCAGGACCAGTAGGGCATGTCTCTTGATGTCACCACAGAGGAGGTACAAATTGATAGTCTTCAGACTGACTTTTTGCCAGGTCAGGAAGTGATGGGTAATATGAAGACATGATTGACAGAAATAGAATTTGGCACTTGTTCTAGACAGTATCATTTTCCTCCTTATTTAGCCACCTGCTCTGTGGCAGATTATCTTATAGACAGCAGTCCTCAGAGACTAGGACACAGAAAAACTATAAATAACTAAAATAACAGGGATGAGTTTAGCGTATAAACCTGCCTCCACCACTTATATCTCACAGATTATTTAATGGTCAGCTAATAATGGTCACTTTCAAGTGAGATATAGTCTTGACTGAAGCTTTTAAGTACCCCCCAAAAAATGCTATAAAAGCCAAACAAAACATAGAATGAATACTACTAAAATGTACATATTTATTTTCATACCAGTTGTTACCTACCAGTTATGTTTTGGATTTCTGAACCTTACTATTTTTTTAGAAGAAGTTTACCATTTAACCTTCTGAGGCCTCTATGTACCTTGTTGTAAGATGAGCAAATTCATTCCCAGTCCTCTAGGGTTCCACATGTAATGAGTTAGAAACAATTGACAGTAGTTTGATGTCAGTCATGTAAGTCATTGTATTGCTCTTTATTTTATTTATATTAATATATAAAATCTTTTAGACTGTAGGAGGAGAGGGAAGTTTTTTTAAAGGAAGGCTCCTTTTTGGTGATAACATTACTAATTACTGAAGTCTCCTAGATCTCTTTTAGTACTAAAAATGGCATCAATTCTAGAGGCGATAGTGTCAGAGATCTTTTTTTGTGGTGATTAGTAATATCCTTTTCCATTGGTAATATTAATGACTTCATGTTACAATACCTTTCTCTTTGAACCAGTTTGCTTTCTCTCTCCATTCAAAGTACTTACCTTCCAAGCCATGTTTTTATGTGCCTACATAAAAACAAAATGTTAGAATGTGTCTGTTGCTTTTAATATTCCATTATTAAAACAGGCAAGCCTTTTTTAAAAATGTTTATTTATTTTGAGAGAGAGTGCTATAAGACCCAGGGGGGTGGAGGGGGTGAAGGGGAGGAGAAAGAGAGAGCATCCCAAGCAGGCTCCGCCTGTCGGCTCAGAGCTCAACACAGGGCTTGAACTCACGAAACCATGAAATCATGACCTGAGCCGAAATCAAGAGTCAGACACTTAACCTACTGAGCTACCCAGGCGCCCCAGTTGGAATGTTTTAAATAGCTAAGGGCTTCTTCCTTTGTTTCTAAACAGTCTGTTTTTTCTGACCTGTCCTAAATTTTTGGCTTCAATTATTCTGAATTCACAGCAATTTTATGAGCTTTTCTGTTCTTTACCAAAAAAGAGGGAGGGAAGTGGGAAAGGTAGGAGGGAAGGAATGAAATTACAGTAGTGTTATTCAGAAGTAAGAAAATTATGGCATTAGAAACATTTATTTCTTGGCTATAGAATATTTTTGGGCTTCATATATATGCAAGACCAATTGGATAATAGTTACTCAGAACTATTCCTATTACAGTTATTCCTGTAATCCTATTATGTCTATTTTTCTTTATTCTTACTGAATTTGAAGCATTGTATATTATTATGCCACTGAATGTGTGTAATAAAACATAAGTATCTCTTTCACTGAAATAGTAAATATTCATTTTACAAGTGATCATATGTATCTAGTACCCACATAGCTAAATTATGGCTTAATGACTGATATGTGTGTATGTGTTTGCTTGCATATGTATAAAGACATGGATTAAGTATATATTAATTAGCGTGATCATGGGTCTGTGATATTGTTTAAAATTCCCATTGTCCTATTATTTTTTCCTACATCATGATTCTCTTGAGTTCATTTCAACAGAATCATTTACTTCAGAGCTATTAAAGAATGGGGAGGTGGGGAGAAGTTGGAAATTATTTATGTACTATCCACATATCCACTGTCCTTCTCTTCTGTCATATCATTTCTTTCTTTCTAAGACTGAGAAGATGGGCAATGTCCATGGTCATGGAGTAACACAGTTGCCGGATGGCATCTTAATAAAAAAGCCGACTGTCATCAAAAGTAATGTTTTTTTAAACTGTGGGTTGCAACTCTACACATGGGTCAGGGAATTAAAATACGAGGGGTCATCTCGGGTATTTAAAAAATATATATGGGCACCTGGGTAGCTCAGTCCGTTAAGCATCTGACTCTTGATTTCACCTCAGGTCATGATCTCATGGTTTCGTGAGTTCAAGCCCTGCATCGGACTCAGCGCTGGCAGCGTGGAACCTGCTTGGGATTCTCGCTCTCCCTCTCTCTCTGCCCCTCCACCACTCATGCGGTCTCTGTCTCTCTGAAAATAAATAAACTTTAAAATAAAAATTAAAAAATACATGAAAAGAAATAGTAGAATGGAATAGTAGAATAGCTATTGTGTGTATTGGTCAACTGTACTATTTCTTTTATGTACAATATGAATTTTGCAAAGTACTGTGGAAAGTGACATGAAGAACCATTGACTTTGCTTAGAGGAAAAGAGAGGGATTGAGGAAAAGCCTACACAAGAAGTAAAATTTAAATTGCATCCTTGAAAATGCGTAGGCATCTCCACATGCTCTTGGAGTAGCATATTGAGGATAACAGTCGGAGAGGAGTTGGAGTGCAGTGTTCCAGGGAAACACCTATCCAGATGCAATGTGAAATCAAAGTACATGACAT